AAAAAGAAGGCTTTAAAAAGATCGGTATTGGTGATCGGTATCGGCAGATACTGCTTTCTGTGATCGGCAATCGGCCTCAAAAACCCAGATCGGAGCACCCCTATGAGAGAGTATTCTGACCTACCTCATCATGTAAATTAACAAACAAGAACTGGACGAGATCCCGGAGTTGAGCGCGTTCACACAGAACCACCACCAGCTGTCGGAGACAGTCCAGTTGCCTGCAACCACAGACAACACCGAGAGCTCACGTATTTCACTTTAAACTGTGGAGAAGGAAATGATGTCAGTGCACTGTACCTGCTAGAATCAGGGTTCTGCGTCAGGGCCTCGTATGCCTGACTGTTGTGTCCAAGATCCAGATGATGCTTGAATATACGAGTCCACAGAGCAGCCTACAATACAGGCGTCAGATTCTTATTAAAGGGGTCATATGATGCAATTTCACGTTTTCCTTTTCTGGAGTGTCACAAACTGTTTGTGCATATATAAGATCCCTAAAGTTGCAAAGACTAAATTCTCAAACCCAAAGAGATATTCTTAACACTTAAATGTTATAAATAATCCACATTTCTGCCAAATTGCAATAGGTAACAGTTACTGTTATTATAGTATGTTTATAGTATATAAAGGTGATTATCTGAGGATCGAAAAGCCTTCTAAGTAGTTGTATGGCATAAGATTTTTTCCTGTTTTCCTTGTCCGTGTTGTTTCTGGGCTCTTTCATTTTAAACTAGTTTAATGGACTTTATTTCTTCTCCTTTAAAACCTTTCTTTCTTCTTTAAAACTTATTTTCAATTAAAAAAATGTGTTAGAAAGAATATGCATCTAATTTGATCATTTTTTTACCCACATTCACATTCTGAGGGGAAAAGATAGCTATATATTCAGACTAGGGATGTTCATTTCGGTTATTTTTCCTAACCGACAACCGACGCTCGTTAACCGATTATTAACCGTTAACCGACAAGATTATTTTGAAATTAGAATTTAATTAAATTAGAAAGGATAAGTGTCTGTGACCAGTTAAAAAATAGTAACATGCGTTTCCCTGGGATTCATTTTACATGCGCAAAAAGCAGCAAACAACAGAACATGAGGATTCACATGGTCATCATAACACATCACGCACCTGCAGCGCTTCTGCGAGCGGAGAAAAACATAATAAAGCTAGGCTATAGGCCTGTATATATATAACGATAAATAGGCCTATACGAGAAACATATTTTTACTTAATAAATTAAGAAAACGAAAGAAAACCTGTGCAACAAGTAGCCTAGTATGCAGAGTTTCAGTTCATTTTTGTGCTGCGCGAAAGGAAACCAGATATTGGAACATGAGTGAAGTAGGCTACATAATAAATAATATTTTGGCATTCAAATACATCGCGAATACAGAAACATTTGATTTTGTGTGGAATGAGAGACCCAACGTTGGTTTCAGTTTCCTTTTAGCCTAAATTAATTTGTTTTGGCTTGTCGTATATAGCTATAGCTTCTTATATTTTTAATTCTTGTTCTTTTCTAAATACTGTTAATTGAAAGGATTTCTTGTGGAGTGAGGGGAACTAAAATAGCCTAGCTATGTTTACAGTGTTTATTATAACGTTTTAAACATTTCGAGTCGGCATTAGGCCTATTTCTGAATGAAATAATAAAATGCGACTTATTTTCTTTTGCCTCTAAAAAAACAAATTTTTTTTATACACCTAGCGTATTTTAACCATGCAGCAAACCTTTTAAAATATTTTAATAAATTACTAAAAAAAAAATTTAACCGGTTAAAATGAACATCCCTAATTCAGAACAAAAAAAAAAAACATGACAGGAATACACAATTTAATTACTGCAATGGATTAATCGTTCTCAAAACAAACAAACAATGTTGTTACCTGGCTTCTCTCATCATTGGCAGCTTCAGATATGGCCAACGTTGCCAAATTAATCACAAGCTCTGGCAAACCAATATCCTCCAATAACCGCAAAACCTGAACAAATAAACAATTAGAACCATTACATCTCCATTTAGATACTGAATCACTATTTTAACATGGTCTGTGCATCCAGCAGACACATACCTTGTTGTAATAAAGTAATCGTGGGGCAGTTGCGGTGGCTGCCTCTTCATCTGAACCTGTGAGTTTCATTAAAAACTCTTCTTTATCCACCTCAGCGGCTGCTTCCTGGAAACACTGCAATGCCTAAAAACCACAAAACACACATCCGCACATGGCCAACAAAATAGGCATGATTTCACAACACTTTTCTGCTTTTGGAACAATTTTGTGAACAATCCTTTTGTTCTGCAATGCACATATATGAATAGAAAAAAAAACACTTATTACGGTAGCCCTGCCTTAAGTTTAAAGAGCTAAATGGCCTTTTTGTTTGCATAATAGCACAATAGTTGAACCAGCCAAACAATTCTTTTTTTTTTTTGCACGTTTTCAGTTTCAGAAGAGCAGTTCAACGCTGACGCCTGCATTCAGAATGTTATTGAACTTCATTTAAAAACTAAATTAATTAAAATGAAAAAATAAAAAGTAATAATACATAAAGTGATACAATGTTGTATTGCAAAGAAAAATGAGTACATCCTCATGAAAGTTACAAAATAAAATTTTTTAAATTTATTCCTCTAATTCTCACCCATCAGAGGCTCTTCTACTGCTTGACGCAGAGAAAGCCTTTGATCGGGTGGAATGGTATTACCTTTTCTATGTGCTACAGAAATTCGGTTTTGGCAATACGATATCCTGTATAAAACTTTTGTATTCCTCCCCAGTATGCTCCGTTCGGGCCAATGGAGTATCCTCCTCTATTTTCCCGTTAAAACGTGGCACTAGACAAGGTTGCCCACTTTCACCTTAGCTTTTTGCACTGGTAATTGAACCACTGGCAATTGTCATTCGTAGTGAGCAGGCTATACAGGGAATTAGGAGAGCTGATGCGGTTCATAAAATCTCATTATACGCCGATGATGTGTTGCTCTATATCTCTGATCCGGTTGTTTCTTTGCCCGAAGCTCTGAGAATTATAAACTCTTTTAGCCTCTTCTCCGGCTATAAATTGAATATAAATAAAAGTGAGTTATATCCAATAAATTTTCCAATTTCTGATTTACCAATGAGTACTTCAATGTTTAAAGTTGCTTCCCATAGTTTTAAATATTTAGGAGTAACAATTACACGTAAGTGTTTAGATCTATTCAAGG